CCCACACACACAGACACAGTCACACACAGAGACAGTCACACACTCACACACACACACACACAGATAGTCACACACCACACACAGACAGTCACACACTCAGTCACACACACACACACACACAGCAGTCACACCCACACAGAGACAGTCACACACACCCACACAGAGACACACACCCACACACAGACAGTCACACAGACAATCACACACCACACACAGTCACACAGCAGACAGTCACACACCACACAGAGACAGTCACACACCACACACAATCACACAGACAGTCACACACCACACAGAGACAGTCACACACTCACACACAGACAGTCACACACTCACACAGTCACACACTCACACAAACAGTCACACACTCACACAGAGACAGTCACACACTCACACAGAGACAGATAGACACACACACAGTCACACGCTCACAGTCACACAGAGACAGTCACACACTCACACACAGACAGTCAAACAGACAGTCACACACACACAGACAGTCACACACTCACACACTCACACAGTCACACACTCACACTCACACAGTCACACACTCACACAGCCACACACTCACACAGAGACAGTCACACAGAGACAGTCACACACTCACTCAGAGACAGTCACACAGAGACAGTCACACACTCACACAGAGACAGTCACACACTCACACACAGTCACACAGACAGTCACACACTCACACACAGACAGTCACACACTCACACAGTCACACACTCACAGAGACAGTCACACACTCACACACAGACAGTCACACAGACAGTCACACACTCACACACAGACAGTCACACACTCACACACAGTCACACAGACAGTCACACACTCACACACTGTCACACACTCACAGTCACACACACAGACTCAAACAGTCACACACTCACACAGTCACACACTCACACACAGACAGTCACACACTCACACACAGTCACACAGAAAGTCACACACTCACAGAGACAGTCACACAGACAGTCACACACTCACACACAGACAGTCACACACTCAGACAGTCACACACACACACAGTCACACACTCACACACAGTGACACACTCACAGTCACACACACAGACAGTCACACACTCACACAGACACACACTCACACAGACACACAATCACAGACAGTCACACACTCACACAGACACACTGACCTCCTTCTTCCCTCCTGCTTGGAGCTCCTGGAGGCTTGTTGTTGGGGAAGCAGGGACTCCTTCCTGCTTCCCATGCTGCAGTCAGCCGGGCCCCACCGCACAGTAAGCTCCGCCTCCGCCGCCCGATAAGCCCCGCCCCCGCCGCCCGCTTAGCCCCGCCCCCACCACAAATCTATTTTATTTTTTTTAAATGATCCCGGCCGGCCATGTGTGAGCTGTGCCGGCCGCCTGGCTCCCCCTGCTCCCATGGGGCTCTGTGCGGCCGCACACCTTGTACATGGCCGGCCGGGATTACAGGAGCTGTCAGCCCAATGATCAGGGCTGTCAGACCGGCCCCAGGTGCCGTGGCCCACCAGGAAATTTCCCGGCATCCCGGTGGGCCAGTCCGGCCCTGGCTTTGAGTTCGGTGTTCGGCGATTTAATGGAGTGTTTTGAAAAGCTTTGACTCATGTGCCCTTCGAAGCCATCACAGCCATGCCTACGTATGGCATGGCTGTGATTGGCCAGTGAAGTATGTGACCCAGCCTCTAAATAAGCTGGAGTCACATGAGCTCCTATTAGTGCAGGGAGAGGATGCTGCAGCTGTGAGGGACAGATTAGGAAAGAATTCTGGTGTTGAATCTGCAAACTACAGCGATTATTTTTGTGGATGCTATACTACATTTTTGTACCCTGCCCTGAGCCCAGTGCGACAGAGAAATAAGCAATCAGTCTGTTTATTAGGTGGGCACTTGCAACTGCATGTGTGCCAGGCCCATTACTTTAATCCTGTTCTGGTAGGTCAGTGGGCAATATATAGGCATTTTTAGATACTGCTGTGACATTGCAGTTTGACAAATTCTAATTTTTTTGGTGTTAAAAAGTACATTTGTGGCATGCACTTCATATCTGAGAGTCAAATAGAACTGTCAAATACTGTGGTTACATCGCACTTTAAAAAAAAATTAAAATTGTTTTGGTGCTAAAAAAGTAAATTAGGGGTGTGCACTTCATATCTGAGAGTCAAATAGAGCCATCAAATATTGTGGTTACATCGCACTTTGAAAAATTCGAATTTTTTGGTGCTAAATAGAACATTTGCGGCCTGCGGTGCATGTCTTGCAGTCCAATAAAACCCTTAAATACTTCTTTTACATTGTTGGTTTAAAAAAAATTCCAATTTTTTGTGCTAAATAGAACATTTGCGGCCTGTGGTGCATTCCTTGCAGTCCAGTAAAACCGTTAAATACTACTGTTACATTGTTTTTACTGATGGGTCTCCACATTGGGCATATGGCCTGAGCTTGCTGTGGCGAAAGGAACCTCGCCACTGGTTTTTGGAGGGGCCTGTTTGCCAGCCTCCTGCCCTGCGACTATGGCCCTGGGATGTATTGCCCTTTTAGGAACTGATTTGGGCATACTTGATGCTTATATTGCTGTTTATGGCCCTTTAATTTCCAGAGAAAGAATTTGTACTTTTAAACTGGCACCTCGGATGCAGTCGAAGTGCCGAAGTCGTCAAGGTGGCCGCCATTCGAATACCTAACACATGGCGGCGGACATTTTAACTCATTCGAACGCGGTCAGCAGTATGTGCAGCCAAATCTATGGAACTGTTTTCGGCTACCCAATTGCATGAACACCGCTGACCCATACGTTCTACTCTACTTCGACACTGCGGCTGGAGACTAAGTCCCGTTCGAAGATTCGAACACTCGTTCGAATGGGACTTAGTAATTTTCTCGGTGTAAAATAGACCGACCGCACAGCCCAAATCCATGGAACTGTTTTGGGCATGAAAATGTGCTTGCGGTCGGTCAAAAGTGACATATCTATCTCCCGAAAGGCTGAACAGATTCACATTATTTTTGGGTATGTTTGTATTTGGAATGTGCTGATTAATAATATGTGACTTTAATTAATATTGGATGTATAGTTTTAGAGTTATGAAAGTTGAGTAAAAAGTATGTTTTAAACTGTACGGATAATTGGGTTACCTCTCAGGCTAAGGGGAGGAGATGTGTGGGATGTAACCATTGTGTGATTGGGTATTGTATAATTGTCTGTGGGCGTCTCCCTTGCATGGGAGAATTGCATAAAAGCAATCTAGAGTCCTGTCTCTTATTGGGGGAATTGCTATATCACCACAACGGATTGCTATGCTCTGCATGCTCCCTTAGCCAATCACTACTAAGCTCTTTTAAGAGCTTGTTCCTGCTTCACTCTCTTGGAGGAGAGGTTCACCCACTGGAACCTGGAGCCTTGTCGTAGGTCCAGGGTTGGTAGGAGACGGCGAGACCCCACCCAAGCTGCCGTGGTTCGTGGGGTCTGTGGTGGTTGTGGTGTCTGCAGAGCACTTGGAGCCCTCTGTAAGCGCTAGGAGCATCCTTCAATGGAGGTACCCAGTCGGGGTGACAGGTGATCCATTACACTTGCCCTTTATACCTTGGAGGTGCTGGCCTGCTCTGCAGCCAGTGTATTGTCTGAACGTGTGTTTAGCATGGCAGGGGGCGTTATCACAGAGCCAACGTGGACAAGCTCACACTTATTAAAATGAACCAGGCATGGATCCCACCAGACTTGTCTGTACCTTGTGCAGAATAGACATTTATACCTGCCTCACCAAGCCATTGTTATACTCAAGTGCACTTATTCTTTGTTTTCTTTTTTTAAAAGTCCCAATATTTTGGGGGCTATCCCAATTGTTTGCAAGGCACTTGTCCTACTCTTACCCCAATTTTACTTCCTTTTGCAGCCCTCTAGCCCTTTCCAGGACTTTTTTAGAGCCATTTTAGTGCCAAAATGTTCGGGTCTCCATTGACTTCAATGGGGTTCGGGGTCAAGTTCGGGTCAAGTTCGAGGCCAAACTCGAACTTTTTGCCGATGTTCGGCTGAACCCGGCGAACCTGAACATCCAGATGTCCGCTCAACTCTACCCCTCACTAATTTTTCCTCATTTTTTTTTTTAATCTTTATTATTTTGTTCTCTATTAACTTGCTCTATGGCACTCATCTTAAGCATTAACGTGAAGGCTGCCTACCCCAGCTCTAGGGCACTCTTAGAGTGCCATTTTGCTAATTAACAAAGTTAGAAAGTTATAAAATAATTCATGGCTCTTTTCTTATTCCTCTTTTACAGGGCAGCTGATACTTTCTAAAAACTTCTCACTATTTTAAACAAATATTGTCTGTTTACCAACTGATGGCTTAAAACATACAAATACATATAGATATGCATCTGGCATAGTATGAAATTACACTTTAATACATCGCTTGCTAACATTCAAATAGAGAAAAAAACAATGTGACATGGTAGCAAACTTGTTGGAAAATAGTATTTGCTACTAGCTACCAGCTCTTATGAGGGGATACAAATGACATCTCACTGTAAGACTTAAGGGGTAAATTTGGAATGATTAGATTTCAAGAGATTCCAAAAGGAGATCCCTAGATTGATATTTAGAATCACTAGATTGATATTTAGGAACACTTTACAGTCCTAAGAGTGAATGCAGCTGTTGTGATGGAATTCCAGTAAAATAAAAGTTTAGAAGGCCAAGATTGCCACAAGGCATATGTAGGTACATGTGTTTGTAGTATCAGTTAGTTAGTTACACGTAGCTAAGATACTGTCATCAATGTACTGAGCATGTGCAGAAATGCAGGAACTGGAATTATGCGTCACTCTCCTTTGTTTCAGATGAGCCACGTGGTTAGACCGGATGGATGAGTTTAGACTCTGTTCATTGATTAGGTTAAGGGTATGTGTGGGCGTTGCTAATTATGGGAGGAGCTACAGTGCTATATAAGGAATGTACTCTATGCATTCAGTGCTCAGAATTTTGGAACAGGAGTTCATCTGAGACCCGATCGGTAATGTGAATAAAGGCCTCTTACTTCCTGGATACCTGTGTCCATCTCTCTGTGTTCGGCTTCTGCACGCTTACACGGTTACATCTCTGGTGCATTGGCAGCAGGAAGCTCATCGTCACGGTAGCTGAGACAGAGACGTGAGACGGTAGATCTTTACCAACGTTCTCCACGGCAGCACCCCTGGACTTCTGCCTGGATCTCCTTTCGTCTCTGCGCCACTTGCCTTTTGTCCAGGAGATCATCGGCTTCTGCGCAGTGAATACCGGGGTGTACTGTCGATGAGTGTGAACCCAGGTCCAGGAACTAACAGGTAAGACTGATACCGTTAGAGCGGTAGACCCACAAGGGGTTTTATATTTGGAACCGGTTATTGGAATTGGCCCCTTCCCTCTGGAAGGAAGAAGCGAAGGCGCAACACTTATCTGGACATTAGACGCTCTGTAGTCAGCCCGTCTAATAAAGGTGGTATTGTCAGACTGAGTTCTGGTGTAAATAGCTCATGTCGGACACCGATGTCCTGCCTTGACTAGCATGCTAGGTGTAAATTTTGGTTGCTAGGTCGGGGAGATCAGAGAAACTAAGCAGACTCTGTTGTATATTATAGTTTGCTAGATTTCACCCTATCTTAACTAAGTGTGCTCTGTTTTAAATCCAGCCACTAGATTATTGATAGTGTAATAGACTAAAAGGGTATTGGTGTAAATTCTGCCCTCTAGTTCGCTATACATGGTGTGTGGGCAGTGAAGAACTTATCGAATCTCTGGTGTACAAATAGATTGAAAGCTCTCAAGGTGCGGGCCAGTTAGAATAGTTGGGATTATTGTAAATGTTGTTAAATATATTGTAGTGGGTGAATTGGTTAAATTGTATGTCCTGCTAGAAAGCTTGAGCTCTGCCATCTAGCAGGAGTGTAAATTGTGTGTATAACTGTATAATAGTGCACGGTACCATAACCACTAACATGTATTATAATTACAGACATTGTGTATTGTATATAGCTACTAACAATCTGTTGTTTGATGTTATATGTGTAACACCATAACTGTTACTAATCGACCTGTGATTCTAAAACTGTACCATAACCACTTGCTAACCGTACTATAACTACTGATTGTAAAGACGATGTTACTGGAGTGTGTTATAGTCTGGTAATTGAGAGTTGGTTTACTGCATGGATGGTTGCAGGGTTTGATTTATAGTTATAGTGATGAGTATCTAGTGTTTGGTGAATTTTCGTGTGTGAAGACATTGTATTAGCACTGTGTGTGTATGACAATTCTCCTCGTGTTTTTGGTGTGTGCCACATGGTGCTGTTGCTAAGGTAACTGGTGTGACTGTTGAAACTGTTTGTATATTTGTACTGCTTTGAATCAGATGCTCTGTTGAAATTATGGGTGCTTCTGATTCACAAACAGTCCTTTGTCTTTATGTGTCAAAAAAAACAAAAACACTTTCCTAAGGAATATGTTGTAACACTGTCCCCCAAAAGATTAAAATACTCTGTTTAGCAGAAGACGGCCTGTTCTGGTAACCAGTGTTCCTGTGGATCCCTGATCCAGATTTAATACAGCAGGTTTACAATGTTATAAATAATATGCTGGGGCTATACGAGTAGTTTCTGTATACAGATTGTTGAAACACTGCTAAATGGAACAAGCTGTGCTAAGAGGAACAATGGAGTCCATGGTAGCCAGAACCTGTTTGTCCACTAAGACCTTTATTACAACTGCTTTGGACACCTCCCCCCTTGCCATCCCCCTTACTCATCCTCCAGAGCCTCCCAAGCTAAAAACTGGTATAGCTGGTATTTGCACTCCCCCTGCTATATTGTCCACGCCTACCCACATACCTATCTGTTCTTTTCTTTCAAACTCTTGTATTTCTGTACAAACTGGTTCTTTGAAATTTGAATTGACTTCCTTTTTGGTAGGAGTGTATTTTAGCATTGAATTTTATTACCAGTTAAATTGTGAGGAGAATTCTTAATAACAGTAACTGAGTCTATTGGATCAGATAATTATCAGCAATGACATTTACCATAATCATTGAAATAGCACTAAAACTATTGAATACTGTATGTCTTCAGTGATAGTCTAAAATACAACTGGAAGAAATGATTAATGGTAGAAGATGCTAGAGTACACTTTTATCCTTTTTTTAGTTACTGGATGGGCCCCTCCCAGCTTGGTTCAAAATATCCCCTTTACTAAAATACAAACTGAGATGTTTAATTTACCATAGAACTAAAGCTTTACTCAAGCCTATATATCAGGGTGAACAGTGATTAAAATAAGTAATAATAAAATAAGCACATAATTAAAGTCTATCTGCTTCATTAGATTTTAGGGAGGCAATCTAGGGCCACCTACTGGCCATCTCCGGGGGTTATATTGATAATACATTGCATAATCATCTTTAACGCTATACTGGCATATAACAGACAGAAGTAGGATTGTTTATCCTATTTTAATATATTTATTGCTATAAGGTTTTATTTTATGTATAAATATATTAAAAGTTAAGTTTTATTATTAGACCCATAAAGATTATTTTGATACAATTACCCGCTGGTGACACCTACTGGTAGGTTTTTGGTTTAACACGTTAAAAAAAAAATTTCATCCACCAAATGCTGACTAGTAAAATTAGCTCACCCCCTTCCACCTATCTTACTACTCTCAGACTGAGCAGCCTTACCAAAGCCCTGTATTAACCCGACAGATGACTGGTACCAAATGCCTCTCCAACTTACACCGGGCCCAACACACGTTGACAATAATGGTCAATTGCAACATGCAGACCCTGTATTTGTTTATGTTCCTTTCACTACGACTGACTTTTTCAATCGGAAGACACATAATTCTTCATACACTGATAAGCCTCAAGTCATGACAGATTTGGTTACCTCTATTATACAAACCCACAATCCCACCTGGGCTGATTGTCAGCAATTATTACTGACCTTTGGAACGTAAATGGCACTGACATGCCCCAACTAAGGGCTTATCAGGAAGCCATAATTGCTGGCATGAAGGAAGGAGGGAAGAAGGCAATTAATATGTCAAAGACGGCTGAGGTGTTGCAAAAGGTTGATGAGTCACCTAGTACCTTTTATGAGAGATTATTGGAGTCATATAGGTTGTAAACTCCTTTTAATCCAGAGTCTCCTGAGAATTCTAGGATGATTAATTCAGCATTTGTCAGCCAGGCCCAAGGTGATATTAAAAGGAAATTACAGAAATTAGAGGGATTTGCAAGGATATCCATATCACAGCTAACGGAGGTTGCAATTAAGGTGTATATGAATAGGGAAACTGAGACAAAGCGTGAGGAGGAACGTAAAATGAGGAAGAAGGCAGATATGCTAGCAGTAGCTATCACATGTGTAGAAAGACAGGGAAGGGTAGTGAATAAAGGAGTCGAGAATAGGCTGAGTAAGGGACCTTTAAGTAGGAATCAATGTGCGTATTGTAGAAAGGAGGGACATTGGAAGAGTGAGTGTCCACAGAGAGAGCAGTATGAAGGTGATAGACAAGGAGAGAGAAGGGTGCTAGGAGGTTATAGTGGTAGTTATAGAGGAAGAGGAAGTTTTAGAGGGAATGGTGGGAATAGTAGAGGAAGTGTTCAAGGAGACAGATACTATCCACCCACGCAGAGACCTAGAGAAAGAGAGATTTTGTGGGTCTGGCTGACACTATCATGGAAGACTATTGATACTGACCGGGCTCCATCCCCCTTGGTCAAGCGGAGCCTATGGTCGATGTAGCAATAGGGGGAAAGAGAAGTCCTTTCATGATCGACACAGGTGCTGAACATTCTGTGGTGACTAAGATGGTGGCTCCACAATCGGGGAAGACTATAACTGTGATAGGAGCTACTGGGAAGAGCACTGCTAGACCTTGCATTCTGGGAGGCCAGTTGGTGAAACACCAATTTCTATATATGCCTGAGTGTCCAATCTAACTTCTAGGACGAGATTTATTATCAAAGCTTCAAGCCCAGATAACCTTTTAACCTAATGGATCAACATCTCTGACGTTTAAGGGATCATCGGGCATAATGGCGATATCGGTGCCAAGGGAAGAAGAATGGCGCTGCTATTCCATAGTGACAAGTGTTAACTCTAAGAGTGATGAATCCTTATTTGACATTCCAGGAGTATGGGCAGAGAATAATCCACCAGGACTTGCTCGTAATATCCCACCTATACATATTAAACTAAAGCTTGGGGCCTATCCTGTGAGCCTACATCAATATCACATACCCCAAAAGGCTAAGGAAAACATACAAACCTACTTGGATAAGTTTGTAAGGTATGGCATCCTAAAATTCTGTACTTCCTCCTGGAACACTCCATTATTACCTGTTCAAAAACCAGGATCGACGAATATCGTCCTGCACAGGATTTGAGAGCAGTTAATGATGCGGTAGTTAATATACACCCAGTTGTACCCAATCCTTACAATCTGCTTGCCTTGATACCAGGTGGGGCAACCTACTTCACAGTGTTAGATCTTTAGGATGCTTTCTTTTGTCTTCGAATTGCTGCTGAGAGTCAACATATCTTTGCATTCCAATGGGAAAATGCTGTTACAGGTTCAAAGCATCAGATGACCTGGACTAGACTACCTCAAGGGTTCAAGAATTTACCTACCCTATTTGGATCCGCATTAAGCCAGGATTTGCAAGATTTCAAGTCCATCCCAGGAGAATGTGTACTACTTCAATATGTGGATGATTTATTGATAGCAGCTGTTACTAAAGAGATATGCCAACAAGCCACTTATGATTTGCTTCATATTCTATGCAGAGCAGGATACAAGGTATCGAGGAAGAAAGCACAATTGTGCCAGGCAAGTGTTAAACATTTAGGATTCCATATATCCGAAGATCAAAGAATGATGGGACCTGAAAGAAAAGAAGCAGTGTGTCGGATACCGATACCGAAGAATAGAAGACAGGTGCGAGAATTCTTAGGAGCAGCAGGATTCTGCAGGATATGGATTCCTAATTATGCGATATTGTCGAAACCCTTATATGGAGGCACAGAACATGACCCCTTCCTATGGACTACTGAACAGCAGAAGGCATTTGAGGATATCAAGAAAGCACTAATGAGTGCCCCAGCCCTAGGTCTACATGATCATTCACATCCTTTCTATCTGTACGTACATGAGCAATGAAGAATGGCTGTGGGAGTATTAACTCAATATTTGGGATCATGGCAAATAACCCTAACCCTAACCCTAACCCAAACAGTGGCCGCCGCTGTCCTGTTGGTAGCAGAAGCTGACAAGCTTACACTGGGAC